CGGGAGCTCGGCTACCGACGCGCTGCGGTCGTCCAGCACCACGACACGGGCCAGTTCCCCGCGGGCCAGGCGCGCCCGCAGCGCGCGGTCGGGCAGCAGACAGGCGAGGGCGGCGGCAGGCTGGCCCCGCGCACGGCGGCGCAGCAGTGCGTTCCAGGGCACCGGCCGCGCGGTGCGCACGTGGCGCCGGCAGAAGGCCAGGAACGGGCGGCAGTCGAGCAGCAGCGAGCGCTCTGCCTCCCGTGGCTCCCGCAGCAGGGCGCCCAGCACCGCGCACTCCAGCTCGCAGGCCGCCTCCAGGCCGGTGGCGATCGGCATCGTGCAGCCTCCTCCGCCCGCTGTCCCTTCACTTCGTCCTCTGTTCGCCCTCCCTGCTCTGCCTTTACAGGCTCCGGGGTCAGCGTTCTTGTAGCCGAGCAGTCCTCTCTAGGCGATCCTGGCTGGCTCCCGGGCTTAAGTACTCGTGGGCCGGCCCCTCGGGTCACCATACAAGGGCAGAGCAGGAAGGCGCCGGTGTCCGCCTCCGCGACTTCACGTGGGGCCCAGAGGGCCCCGGGAGCAGACAGGGAGGGGGGTGCTCGGGGAGGGGCACCCGGGGGAGGGAACTGGGGACCAGCCGCTGAGTGAAGGTGTCAGCCGGAATCTTGAGGCCCCTGTGCACCCCAACCAGGAAGAGCGCTTCCCACCCTTTGCCAGGCTCTGAGCCCTAAGTGCCTAGGAATGTCATTTTCTAAGATGTACATTGCCTTGGAGTACCTGGGGTCGCCAGCTTTCTCTCCCAGGGGGTTAAATCCTAGAAATTTGTACAACACTTAACAGACACGCCTGTTGCTACGGACGATTCTACACTAGAAGATGGGGGCCCCCTTTCTCATTTTAGAGGCCTTAGGTTGAGATTTACTCGTGTCAGGATTTTACAGCAAGTGGCCAGCCAGGCTAGAATACAGTCCCTGAACCCAAGTCCCTTAGGCTTGTGGCCTAAAGGGGATGAAAAGGGTCTGGGGGCCTTGGGGGGAAGGGGAGCAGGGGCTTGTGACGAGAGTTTCCACTTATGACTGGGACAAAGTTTCTTCCCCCAGGGCTCAGGGAAACCCCCCAGGGGCCCAAAGAGAAGCAGTTCCCCCTGTCACAGGCCAGGGCTAAAGGGGAACTCTGATGACGCTGCCTGGGCTCTCCAGGCCTGGCCTGGTGGGAATTTCAAGGGGAAGAGGGAGAGCCACTGACAAAACCTGCCCCCTCCACTGCCCCCTTCCAGACCTTTAGGGCTGTACACCTTCCTCTTGGCCTGGTCCCACAACATTTGGTGGTAAGAACGCAGAGCTGGGTAACTCACTGCGGTTCTGTCCCCACCCCCACCCCAGTGCCAGACGGATGTGGTAAGGCCAGGTGTGCGTGGGGTGCCTGGCCCCCGAGCTGGGAGCAAGAAATGTTGGTAGGTGGCTGAACTTCATCTGAAGCAAAGTCGTTCAGGGAGGTTGGGAAAGTTTTCAGAACCCACCCTTCTCTGAGCCATTCCTCTGTGCCTTTGGAAAGAGCCTTCAGCAATCCTGCAGACCCCATGTCCCTACAGTCTTGGAGGACTGCAGCTACCTACGTGGACCCCCAGCAACACAATGGTGTAGTGTATGTCTATGCTGGAGGATAATACTGTGCAGCTCTTTGTTTGAGGAGGAGCTGGTGCCAGAGAATGAAAGAAAAACCTCAAGGACTCCTGGGCCATATGCACAGCTTGTGCCTCAGTGACCTCATCTGTAAGATGGGAGCAGATAATAGACCAGCTGCTCATCCCTATTGGTTCCAGGGCTATGAGACTGCTACAGCCTGGGCCCCTGCTCTCAAGGCTGGTCCCTCCCCACCAGGCTAGTCTGGAGGCTGATGCAGCAGAGCCAGCAGCAGAGCCAGGGAGTCTGGGCCACAGATCCCAGGGGCTGATAGGGGCTTTTATCCTTGGCATCAGCCTCACAAGTAACTTAATGGCTGATTCCAGGGACAAATTACAGAGCATGCAGGGGGACCATCAGGTCTAGTCTTGCTGACCAGTGTCACCTGCCATGCCTAGAGCCATAGGCTTCTAGGGCCTTTGGGAAGAGGGGGGACCCTGCCAGCTAGCGTCCCTGCAGCAGGAATGAAATCAGCTCAGTGGTGTGAGAGACTCTACACCCCTGACTCCAACACTGGAGGCTGAGCTGCTGGACCCCAGAGAGTGTATTTCTTCAAGTTTGTTTGGTGGCTCAGTCCCCAGGTTTGAGCTAGTGTAGCATCTGTGTCACCCCTTCAAAGTCACTCTCCTTAGAGCTGTCTCCTTTTCACCTCTGAATCACAGATCAATTTGGGAAGACCTGACTTAACCACAAAGGAGGGGCTCACCTTCACCTTCTGCTTGATTCTCAAATCAGGGGAAAACCCCACCCCCAGTACCTGGGTGAAAGCCCAAGGCTGGGATAAAAGAGCCCACGAGCCACCTCCACCTCCTGTTCTGACCTTTGGGTACCGCCACTGATGAGTCATCTGCAGGATGTCTGCTGCCCCTTGCTACCTCCTCAGGACCCTGTTCTCTAGAACTGAGCTCTGAGAGCCTGCCAAGAGGAGGCAGGACTCTGGACACACACTGGAGACAGTATGAGAGGGTCCCAGCCAGCTTCATGCAACCCCCGCCCCCGGGAGGCCAGTACCTCATCACTGGATAGTAAGTAAGGGACCACACAGAGCTGCTGGTTTTTGTTTTGAGGGTTTCCGTGGCCTGGCTATTATAGAACAGACATAACAAGTGAGTTTGGGGCTCAGCTCTTTTTTCTTCTTCAGTTAAAAACTGTGAGACTCAACTGGAACAAATGGTGCTTCTCTGTTATTCTTTTCTGTAACCATTTATTTGGATGACTGCGTAGACGTCACTGGCTCCTGTCTTTGGGATTCCGGTTTGTCTACCAGCACCCAAGTGGAGTAGATTTCCCTTCCACAATCTATGCTTCAATTCCAGCCTCAAGCAGATGATCCAGAAAGGGAGGGAGACCTAAGTAGCTTGGTTGAGGCCTGAGTTACAAAGGTGAGAGTGACCAGAATGCTGAGTGACAGCCTCCGCCAGCCCTGCTTGAAGAGTGAGTCAGGGGTGACATCAGCTTTCCTGAGCCAGGCCTCCCACCAGGATGCTGTGTTACAGCTACCCCCACAGGCTCCTGCCAGGCCAGGACCTGAACCCCCAGGCCTGGCTTGGCTGCTATGATAGCCTGTCAGGCACTATGGGGAGGGGGTGGAGAGGGTCATGTGACCATCCAGGCTCCTGCTAGGGTCGCTGAAACAGGAAGCCCCAAAGGCTGGTCAGAAGTGGACAGGCATGTAGTAGAGGGGCTGGTAACTGTCACATGCATGTATGGGAGCAGCTCTACTGAGGAACCTCCCCTGGACATAGGGTGGCCTCCTCTAGGAACCTGTCCCTCAGGGGGAATGTGAGTGAGAAGGACCCATGATACATCCTGCCCTTCCATGTGTCACCTGAGCTTTGGGTCCCCTGTTTGTGTTCAAGTGGTCCTCTGACACCCAAAAGTAGCATCTGAATAAGGTGCTGAAGAATTCTGAATAACAAGGCGAGGAAGTTCCGCCCTTTTTCAAATCCCTTTCAATCATCTGAATTTGTTCAGAGGAAAGTCTCCACTGTGGCTGTCTGGTTGCAGTGCCTCTCAAACCTTTGGTTTTCTCCCTTTTCACAGGGGCTAGGCACCTTCCCCAACACCCATGCCAGTCCCTCATCCCCTTTTAGTCATTGGCTCAGGAGTGTGTTCAGTAGTGGGAAGTGAATCCTGAGTACTTGTGTGCCAGGTCACACTTTGGGGGCCAGGGATCCATCAATAAAGCCCTACTGATGCCCACAGGGAACTGACCTCATCGTCTCTGTAATGTTTACCTTCGAGATCATGTAGTTGTGGCAAGTGACACTAGTTATCCACTACAGTAATGATTACCTTTTCCTTTAAAAATAAATACTAGGTTTGTAAAAACTGAGTTGGCTTAGGAAAGCTATTAGGTAAGGCACAGACCGTCCCCAAACACCTTGTAAGTCATAATGCAGTAAGAGATGCCAGAGTAGGAACAACTTACCCCAAAGGGCACCCTCTCAGCCCTTTCCAGCTTTGTGTGCCTTGTGCTTCTCAGGGTCTGGCTCTTTCCATTGCTCTCGTTGCATAAAGATAGGAGTATGAGGCCCAGGGAAGTAAGGAAGCCACCATGGATAATGATGAGTGTCCCTTTGTCAAGGGCAGGCCCACATCTTGGCCCAGGCCTGCTCTATAGGCATGTCCATCAAAAGACTGGGGTTTTTCCTATGCTCCCAACCGAACATCTGGGTGTGTCCAGAGGATACCTCCCTCCTTGGGCATCCATTCCCAGCACACCCAGAGCCCCCAAGCCTGGGCGACACCAGCAATGAACCAACTCCATTCCCATGCTAGCCAGAGGCACCTGTGCCTTAGGCCCAGGGAACCAAGGAGGGAAGAGCAGTTGCCAGTGGTAATAGCTTCATATGCAGTTAATTCTCAAGAACTTGACCACACATTAGGGTTCCAGGGTAACCAGAAGACTCACATCGGGGTTTCTCCATGACCAGATCTGGATGCACTGAGGCAGGAGACAAAGGGACATTGAGGCCCTGGGGAGTCAAAGACTTCTCCTACCTGCCTTACCACCAGTGACACCTGTACAGCATCAGACACCAGGCTCATCCCTCCCATACTCCTGTGAAGACATGGAGACTGGTGGTGGTGGTGGTGGTGGTGGTGGTAGGGCTAGCAGTAGCGGCAATGGTGGCAGTTGCTTGTATTGTGGGAGTAAGCTCAACCCCCTCCACAGTAAGAAAGCTTCCACAGATGCCAACCCTCAGACTTCTTGAACTTCAAGTCTCCAGAACTGTAGGAAATAAATCCCTCTTCTTTAGGAATTGTGCATCATCAGGTAGTCTGTTACAGCATCAGTTTCCAACTTCAGACATTCAGTGATAGCAATGCAAATGGACTGAGACAGAAACCAAGGTTCAAAGGCATTCATGGTGGAGGGACCAAGGCCACCCAGACTGTCCACAATGGGTGAACTGACTGGAGCTGGGCCTTTAACCATTAGACTGTCCTGCTTATAGACGGGCTCTGCAGGGACCCACCTGTGTCCTGCATTCCCACTTCCCAGGACACACACACTTCCTCTGTGTGTGCTGAATTGTGCTTGACACAGTTCTTGCCTTGTTCTAAGACTTTTACAGATATTATTAGATTCAAACCCCAAAGAACCTTCAAAAGAGTGTTATACCAAATAAGAGGGACCTGAGGTACTGAAAAGCACTGTAGCTCCCACAAACACTTGAAGTTAGATGGTAGAGCCAAACTCAGAATGCAAATTGTGTGCCCCTTCCACCCTGCCCCCAGGATCCAGGCCCTCATTCCACTGTCTAGGTCCTTCCCATCAGATTCCCACTCTGCCCACAGGCCCCCCTCTCTCAGCCCTGACCCCTGAAATCTTCATCTTGGATTCTCTGGCTGCCTGGGGGCAGGGGTGCTGTTTCCCAACTCAGTTGCAAACATCTCAAAGCTCCTCTGGACAGGACATGGCCTTCAGTTGTAACTTGGGGGATGACAAAGGGCCAGTCATGGGGAGGAAGGCAAGAACAGTGCAAGAGGCAGAAGGCAAGGACAGAGGGGTGGGGGGAACAGCTTGCTGGCAGGACAGTGGGTTGGCCCCATATTTCCAGTGAGGATCTGATCCCATTGAAAGGCCAATGGGAATTCTTGGAAGATTCCAGTCGTGGCAGAACCATCAGAGTGGCATTTGACTATGAGAAGTGATTGGATGGGGAGTAGATATGGTCATGGAGTGAGGTCAGGAGCTAATGCAGTGGTTCAGGGACAGGGAACAGTGACTTGCAAGGGAGAGTGCTGCCTTCATTCAAGCCAGGTAGGATGGCCCAGGGAAGGACAGGAGGAGGTGCCCTACTTCCTCCCTCACTCTGACTTTCTTCTCTCCCCTCCTTCCCACCCAGTCCCTCCTTCCCAATCCCTCTCTCAATCCCTGGCCCTCCTCAAGATGCTCCTACCCTCAGGAGCCCCAGGCCTCAGCAAAAGGAGGAGACAGAGGACTGAGCAGCTGCTGAAGTAGGGGTCCAGTCCTTATACACCTTGGCCCTGTCTCAGTAGGTGATCTGACAAGTCAGCCTCCCCTTGTGGACATGAAGATTGAGACCCTGATACCCAGCCAGTCAGAACCCCAAGGTGGTACTGACCAGATCCCCTCCCATGATCCTGGCTCAAAGAACTCATCACACCCATCATCCACTCTGTACCCCAAATTCTGTACCTCAGCTCTTGGTATTCCTTGCACCATGAAATCACCTTGGCTGCAGAACCTTCCATGCAGTCTAGCTGAGCCCTGCTGAGTTCCCTCTGCCCAACCTCCTCCTTAAGACCAGAGTTGGCTCTTAGGGCCAGCTCCCTGGGTCCCAGGGCTGAGGAAGGACTTAGGTATCCTGGCTTAACCCAGGCAGGGTTACCCTCAGCAGTAGGCATTTGTCCTTTGGGGCAGAAGAAGAAAGGAAACTGCAAGATGAGGGACCAAGGTCAGAATGCAGAAGACACCGACCCCTCGCCAGTCTTTTCTCCTCTGGGAACTGAAGCCTCCTTGAAGCAGTGGGATGACTGACATGAACTCCACAGTTTCTTCTAGTCAAGACAGCAAGAGTTTGGGTGGCTTTCCCACATGCTTTTGTGCACACTTCACCTGCCAGATCATTCTGCTCAGGCCTCAGACTCCACAAGGCACGTGACCTCACATGTGACCAGATTCTACCCTCTGGGGGCTGAGAATCTCTTCCCACCCACCTGTGTTACTCTTTGCAAAGAAATCTCTGAGTGTATGCATGTATGTGTGTATGCCTATATGTGTGTAGGTGTGCATATATGTGTATGTATGTGCACATGTATCTGTACATGTGTATATGTATATGTGGATGTGGATGCATATATGTATGTATGTGTGTGCATGTGTGTATTATGTATGCATAGCATGTGTTTATTGTGTATGTGTGTGCATGTGCATATGTGTGTATGTATATATTGTGTGTATGTGTGTGCATATATGTATGTGTATGTCTGTGTATGAGTATGTGTATGTATGTGTGTGCATGTCATGTGTGTGTGTGTGTGAGAGAGAGAGAGAGAGAGAGAGAGAGAGAGATGGGGTGGGGGCATGCCACAGCATGTGTGGAGGTCAAAGAACAACTTTGTGGAATTGAGTCTCTCCTTCTGTCTTCTACCTTTAATGGGTTCTGGTGATGGCACCCAGGTCGCCATCTTGTGAGGCAAGAGCCTTTCCTCCTGAGCATCTCCCCAGCTCATCCATCTGACTGCGAGGGCACAAAGTTGGTGAACAAAGAGCAATGCTTTGGTTTTGTTTGGGGGTTTGTGGAGTTTTTGTTTGTTTGGTTGGCTGGTTATCTGATTTTGGTTTTGGTTTTTTGAGACAGGGTCTCATGTATCCAAGGCTGCCAGGCTGCCTTCTGACTCCCTACAGAGCACAAGGATGATCGTGAACTTTGATCTTCCTACCTTCACCTCCCAAGAGCTGGTGTTACAGGCGCATCTAGTCTTGTGTAGTTCTGGGATCAACCCCAGTACTTTGTGCATGCTAGATGAACACTCTACCATCTGAGCTACATCCCAGCTTGAGCAAAGCTGTTTAACCCAGGAAAGCAGCAGGGTATAATTCTATGGTGTGAGAGATCAGAGATTAGACACTCGCAAAAGCCATGTGGGTGCCTCCAACTGACAGGACAAATTGTTTTGAGGCTAATGTGAGGTTGAGGCAGAGAGGTTTTCCAAACCAACTAGTTGGTTTCAGAATTAACCAGCCCCTGTCATCTTCTAACCAGGCTTTTTTTTTTTTTAACAGCATTTCACTGTATAGCCCAGACTAGCCTCAAAACTCTCTGTCCTCCTGCCTTAGCCTCCCAAGTACTGGGATTACAGGTCAGTACTGCTACTTTCAGCTCTAACCATACTATAATAATGGTTACCTACCCCAGGTGTTAGACACCTGCCTCCCCACCCCATCCACCTTCTACACTGCAGTCAAAATTGTTTTTCTAAGGAGGAATCTGGCCCTGTGGCAGCTCACTTGTGCCTCTGAAGGGACCCTGAACCCCTCTGTAGGTCAGTCAAAACCTCCATGGCATCCTCCTTTTTTCTGGTTCAGTTCTGTGACAAAGCCAGTTGCCGCCTACCATGCTGCTCCCTGGTTTCCCCTTTTGCTCAGAGAAGCCCCTCTCTCTGAAGAGCCCCCATAGACTCAGAAGTCCCCAAGCTCCCATGCAGGAACCCAGCACCAAAGTCACCTACTCCAGAAAGTCTCCCTGCTTGCCCTGAGGAGCCCAGTAACTGTTTCTTGTGAGCCTGGCCTCCAGCACTGTGAAGCCCTCAGGGGCTTGATCCCCTGGGACAGGAGACACACACAGCCATCATCACCCACCTTCACCTCTCCCCAGTGACCTTAGTCTGGGACTGTTTTCAGGCCTTCATGGGAGAAACCTGAGGCCTATAGAGGAAAATAACTCATGGCCAGTGAGGCCTGAACAAGAGGCTGGTGGGACAGAAGATATGTCTAGATCAGGCTGCTCCCCTCCACCCCAACCTCTCTACTGTGCACACCTGTTCCTGGCTCCTCCCTGGGGTCAATCAGCATCCTCCCTGAGGGCTGCTGGCACTGTGGACAGTCAATAGCCTTAGTTCCAGTGGGGCTGGTGGAATTGGTCACTGAGGAGACAGGCTTGGACTGGGTGAGCCCTGGGGGCCAGAGGCAAGGGAAGAAGCACAGGAAACACGGGCTTTACTGGTTGATGGGCCACAGGAGGAAAGGATGCAAGGGGGTAGCCCTGAGGACACCTGAAAGTAGTGTCCAGACGCCCTGGAGGCCCTGAAGTGAGGCCAGTCAGGACTCAGCACACCCCTATCCAGTAGAGGACCAGGGGTGACTCCTCATGTTAACCCCTGTAAGAGGCCCCACAGCCCCAGTCAAATGAGGGAACTAGAAACGGCTCATGTACCAACAACAGGGCCCACGCAGACGCCTTCCCCTTCCCAGCCATCAAGCCTGGGCCATCCTTCTGGTGAGTCATGTCCCCTCAGCCTCACTGGGGAAGCAGCACTGCCTCACCACACTGCTGTGGGAATCCAATGAGCTGCTGTCCGTGAAGACATTTTGGAAACCTCTAAGGGCTGTCCGTGGGGAAATGATTTAAATAATTAAAGGACAACAGACACATGAGTTCAAGAAAATAGGCTGGCCTCCAGTGACAGGAGCAGCCCCCCCATCTCTGTGGAGACCCCAAGCCTACCATGCTGCCCAGGCATGGAGCTGCTTCTGCCCCATGTAGCTCCTCATAGCTGAGGGTACATCTTCCTTCAGGACCCTCCTTCTCTTAGTTCCTCAGTCTCCTGGCCTTTGTACCACTCCCAGAATCCTGTGGGGCAAGAGAAGGTAATGAGAGAGACGAGAAGAGGGCCTCATGGAGGAGAGTCCACAGATAGCCAGTTCCCCACTGGCCTAGCCAAGCCTTCCTTCTAATTCTGACTCTTCTTGCTAAGAGAGGTTTGTTTTTCAGGATGAGAGGCCACAACTGTGTTCAAGCCCTGAAAGGCCTAGAATGGAGAAGAAATCTGTCCCAGCCCATCATCACCTGTTCCTGAGAGAATTTCCTCAGTGTCCACTGCCTCACACATACACACAAAGACACCTGGCGGGTCAGGGTGCTGGAGACACAGGGAGACAGATTCTGCCTGGGTAGGCCCAGCAGAGCAGGCAACCTGGATTGTGTTTCCCACAATACCCTGGGAAGCTTAGTCACATCAAGGACAGCAATATCTGTGAGGGTCATGAATGTGTGGAGGTCAGGCCTTGAGAAGGGGGATGCCCACTCTGTTCTGCGGCCTATTCCTTTCTGGTCTCTGCAGTAAACTTCTCTTTCACTCACCCAAAGTCTCCCTGAGAGCGCACCCATGGACCTAGGACAGGGGCTGCCATGAGCATCAATCAGCACAGATTTCCCAGACAGCTTTATGGCTCAGGCACCTCCCCAGGCTCTGGGGAAACAATGACTGTGCTGGCTATCCATTTGACTCTGCTTCCCACACCCATTTTTGTCCCTGCTCTGGGCCCTCGAGTCTCTCACATTCCCTCCTCTGCCTCTGAGGGCTCCATGGGGCACAGGTAGGAAAGACAGGAGAGAGACTGAGGCATTTGCCTCTGCTCCCTCTAGCATCCAGGTGTAGCAGTAAGTGGTTTCCTTGGACTCCAGCTTCCAGGAGAACAGTCACTCTGCCTGAGCCCAGCTCTGAGGTCCCTCTGCCCTCTTGTCTTTCCCACACCCTTCAATGTAGGAATGCTCTGAGGATGCCGTGTGAAAATGCCCACATTTTTGGCACTCTTTCATCCAGAGCTGGAGTCTAGCTCTTCACATCTTGTTCAAACAAATCACAACTTGTCCAAGCAAGTCACAAGGGGGCCAATGAGATGGCTCAGTGGGTAAAAAGCACTCTCCACGGACACCTGCTGATCTGAGTTCAATTTCCAGAACCCATGTAAAGGTAGAAGGAGAGAACTAGCTCCACCAAATTTTCCTCTGACCTCCACAGGCACAACATGGCACACATACACACTTGTGCACACACACACAAATATTAATTTTTTAAAAATGTGTGTACGTATGTGAGTGTATATGTGCACATGGCAGGGAGACAGGAAGGCCAGAAGAGTTGGATCTCCCTGAAGGTGGAGTCACAGGTTGTGTGCTGCCTGATATGGGTGCTAGGAACTGAACTAGGGTCCTCTCCAAGAGCAGTATATGCTTTTAATCAGTAAATCATCACTTCAGACTCAGTGATAATACATTTTTACAAAAAGTCACAAGGACAACCCAGATCCTGTGACAAGTTCTTTCCCACACCCTGACTGAGGCACCATGGTTTCCTGTGCTGTGTTCTCTCACATTGTAGATAAACCTGGTTTGTTCAGCCACAGCTGTGTTTTTGGTGGTCTTTGTGGAGAGGTTGACACCCTCTGCTGAAATCTGTCTTTGCCCATTTTCTGTTGTAACAGAATACCTGAGGCTGTGTAACTTAAAAAGGAAAGAGGTTAATTTGGGTTCATAGGTTCGAGAGGCTGGAAAGTCACGTGAGCTTTGTGCTGCTTCAACTCATGGTGAAAAGCAAGTCAAATGGGTATGTGAAAAAAGGGGCTGAACTCCCACACAGTTAACCTATTTCCACGAGAAGGTCATTAATTCATTCATGAGGGCTCCCATGACTCACATAGCTCCAATAGGTCCTACCTCCCAAACACTGCTGCATTGAGGTATTAAAGTGCCAACACATGAACTTTGGGGGGCGGGCACTCAAACCACAACCAAGATATTCCATTTGACAATGGAACAGTAGCTGAGAGTTAAGTGGGATGTTGGAGCTCAGGGCTGACATTGAGGCCCATCTCAAAGCTCCCAGGATCTGGGTCCTTCCATCCTTAGCACAGCTGCATATGGCCCCCATTTCCAAGTTCACCTCAAAGGCCACATTAATGTCGCTCCTGCTGTTACAGTAACATTCCAACTACCAGAAGGGAGAAGAGGGAAAAGGAGACCCTTCCGTTAAGGGCTTCCAGGGAGGAAACCTGTCATGTCTGCTTATATTCCAATGTCCAAAATAGTCACCTGGCCACACCTGACTGTGAGGAAGGCTGTTATTACCCTGTGCACACAGCCATCTCCCAGAGCAAACAAGCTTGCCACAAACTGACAACATTAAACTCAGCAAGATTACAGGAAACCAGGATTCCTAGAACACTAGAAAATTTTAAAAATTAAATACTGTTCTCCGTAGGCATTGCATGACATAGGTGCACTTACCTATATGCAAGCAATACACAAATACACATAAAATAAAAATAATAAAATATTTTTAAAAATTAAGGAAGTTGGGGGTCTGGAGAGATGGCTCAGCCGTTAAGAGCACTGACTACTCTTGCAAAGGACCTGGGTTCGATTCCCAGCACCCACATGGCGGCTACAAACCATCCTTAACTCCAGTTCCACGGGAATCCGAAGCCCTCTTCTGACCTCCGCGGCATTGCATAACACGGGTGCACTCACATACATGCAGACAATACACTCATACACATAAAATAAAAATAATAAAATATTTTTCAAAAAAGGAACATTGGTTGTTCTTGCAGAAGACCTGGGTTTGAATCTCAGCACCCACATGGCAGCTAACAACTGTCCAAACTCCAATCTCAGGGGATCCGACGCCTCTTCTGACTTCCGTGGGCATTGCATGACACGGGTGCACTTACCTACATGCAGGCAATACACGCATGCACATAAAATAAAAAAATAAAAAATAAATAAAATCTAAAAAAAAGGATGTTGGGAGGATAAGGAGGTGGGGGTGAATAAATATAATCAAAATATATTGTATGAAATTCTCAAAGAATTAATAAAAATATTATTTAAATTTTTTGTTTGCTATTTTTGCGCATTTTTGCTTTCAGATGAATACCACAACCAGTGGTCAGGCCTGCTGCAGCTTAGATCTTGATGTTCCCAGCAGATCCATGTATCTGCCAAAGGCTTGTTCCCCAGAGTGGTATTATTGAAAGTGGAGTCTTAGGAGGTAAGGACTAATGGGAAATCTTCAGGTCTGTATGGGTGCCCTTCCAGAGGGTTGTGGGACTCCAGCCCCAACCCTTTCCTCTTCCTCTTCCTCTTTTACTTCCTGGCCATGACACAGGCAGGTTTGTTTGCCATTGGCTCCTGCCATGCTGTAACACCACAGGCCCAAAACAATGGGGTCAACTGATTACAATCAGTAACCTCTAAAACCATGAGCCAAAATAAAGCTATTGTCTTTAAAAGTTCATTAGCTCAGGCATTTATTACAGTAACAGAAACATGACTGACACAGGGTCCATTAAAAAAATTTTTTTGAAGCCTAGGGGTATAGCTTAGTGGTAGGGCACTGGCTTAGCATGTGCTAAGCCCTGGGCTCCATACCCAGCACACACACACACACACACACACAAAGAAAAAAACAAAAAACAGTAACAACAAACTTGTGCTTTTGTCTGCGTTGTAATGCATTAATAGATTAAGCCCCATAGCATGTAAAAATTTTTTGATTGAAGGCTAGGTAGCTTAGTGGTAGGGCACTGGCTTAGCATGTGCTAAGCCCTGGGCTCCATACCCAGCACACACACACACACACACACACACACAAAGAAAAAAACAAAAAACAGTAACAACAAACTTGTGCTTTTGTCTGCGTTGTAATGCATTAATAGATTAAGCCCCATAGCATGTATATAGTATTTGTGTGTGTGTGTGTGTGTGTGTGTGTGTGTGTGTGTGTGTGTGTGTACAGAGGGCAGTTTTTGGTTTTGATCCTTAAGAGCTATCTACCTTGTTTGTTTTTTAAGAGTGTCTCACTATGTAGCTCAGAGTAACCTGTAACTCACTATGTAGACCAGGCTGGCCTTGTAGACCAGTCTGGCCTCGAACTCACAGAGATCTACCTGCATCTGCCTCCTGAGTGCTGAAATTAAAAACCCTGCATTGTTGTTGTTTTTGTTGTTGCTGTTGTTTTTGATCCGAGGTTTTTTATTGGCCTGGGACTTACTGATTAGCTTGGACTAGCTGACCAGCAAATTCTCAGGGATCTGCCTGCCTCTGCCTCCCCAGTGCCTGACTTTTTAAATGTGGGTTCTGGGGATCAAACTCTAGTCCTCATGCTTGTGTGGCAAGTATTTTACCATGGGCCTGTCTCCCCAGCCTATCACCTACCTCTTTATAAGGTCAAATGCTCCTATTGCTGGACAGGAACTGATTTGATTCTTTGTGTCTTAGGCTCTATCCTATAGTCTAGTCAAATTGTATTGCTGTCTTCATGAAGACTTGGCCTTGGTACCTTAGAGCTAACTTTTTTAAAATTACCATTTCTCATTGATTGGGGGGTTATGGAAAAGCAAAGACTTCTGTATGATCTTGATTTTGCTTACCTTGCTGACTTCTCTTGTGAGTTCCAATATTTGTCAGAAGAGTCTCTCAGACTTTCTTGCCAGTTGTATTTTTCGCCAAATGCTGGTTGTCTTTTCCTCGGCATCTCTTTCCTAACCCATGAAAGGCCAGCACCCCATGGAGCATAGTCATTCTTGTGGGCCTCCTGTCCTGCTTCTCCTTCAAGGAGGGCTTCACTCTACAGTGTGACAAGTTTGGATTCAGAGTACTCAACTGGTTAGAGCGGAAAAGACATTTTAATTTGAAAAAAATTATTTATTTATTTTTATTTTATGTGTAAGTGCATTTGTGTTGTGCAGTGCCTGCAGAGGACAGAAGAGGGCGTGGGATCCCCTGGGACTGTGGAGTTTGCCACCATGTTGGTGGTGCTGGAATTCAAACCCCAGTCTCCTGCACGA